CATACCAATACAAAGTTTGGGGTCAGTAATTCTTTTTTTCATCAAAAATACATAGTATTATTGTGAAATATGATTACAATTTAAAATGACTGTTTTCTATTTAAATATTTTAAAATTAATTTATTTGTGTGATCTTATCCATGTTGAAAACAGATGTGCTGTTTAATATTTTACAGAAAACCATGATGCTTTTTTAGAATACTTTGATAAATAGGAGGTTTAAAAGAACAGCATTTACTTCAAATATAAATCTTTTGTAAGATTATTAATGTCTTTAATGACATCCTTGATCAATTGAATGCATTCTTGCAAAAAAAAAAAAAAAAGGTATTAATTTCTTTCAAAAAAAAAAAGTCTTACTGACCCCAAACTTTTGAACAGTAGTGTATACTGGTAGTGTATGAAGATATAAAGATTTCTTTTCTTTTTCATTTTGGGTCTTAATTGTTTTAGGAAAGTGGAGTGTGGAAGGGAAACTTAGAGCAAAAATGTTCCTGTGTCAAATTAAATATGGAATCTACCCTGACAAACTGTGTTAGCCTTCATAATTCACTACATTTCAATAACACCACTTTCAACACTTCCACTGGACTTCCTGTCTAGCAAGGCGTGTAATGATCAAACATGTTGAAACGCACATACAAACATCTGATATCCAGCTCTTACCTGTCAATGATGACCGGGTCAGAGGGCGTCTCGTTGCGATTGCCACAACTTTTCTTGTCACAGCAGCGGCTAAAAGAGATGGAGGGAGAGAAAGAGCGCAAGAGAGCAGTTAACCTGTGTGTTACTGCACATATGTCAGCACTGACCTCAAACACAGTGGAGAAGGAAGAGGTAGCAATTATAAAGCAGTCTTTCCTTCGCTCCTCCAAGGCAGACATTCACTCCTGCTGTACACACAGCACACAATATGCTGCCTCTCGGCCTGTGTATTAGTAATTACTGCTAACAGACTGCCCGACTCAGGGACGGTCACTGAAGGATTAGAAGTGTGGCTGATAACAGGACAGTTATCGAGTGATGGAGAGAGAAGACAAGGCCAGAGAGCAGGAAAGGAAAGAATACAGGAGGAGAGGTGAAAGTAAAGAGGGCACTTAAAGGGGACTCTTTTAGAATACATCCTGGAAGGATTTCAGGTCGGACAGAAGGGGAAAGTTGCCTGTGTGTGTGTTTTTTAAGGTGTTGCAAATGTGTTCCCAAAAGAAAATGGTTTATTTAAATATACACTATATTGCCAAAAGTATTAGAACACCCCGTTCTAATGAACAGGTTTGACTACTTTGGTCATTTCCATGAGTACAAATCTTAATGTTTAAGCATATAATGATATTCTAGGGAATTGTGGGCTTCTAATTTTATAGCAACAGTTTGGACAGGACCCTTTTCTATTCTAACATGGCAATGCCTCTGTGTATAAGGCAAGGTTCAAATAGAAATGATTTATTCAATCAGTGTGGAAGAACTTTGACTGGTCTGCTAGAGCCAAGTCCTAATCCCAGCTGAACACCTCTGGTGTGACTTTAAAAGCAGATCTTGAGCCAAAAACTCATCACCAAACACTAATGACTTGAATATATGGGTACAGTCATTTTAGACACTTCAAAAACTGTTGCAACAGAGATGGAAATACAATTTTTAAATACACAAATTATGTTTCCATCTTTGATGCCACAGTTTTGGAAGTGCCTTTTTCTGTTCTAAAGAAGGGGCTGTCCGAATACTTTTGTCCATATGTATGTACAAGTCACAGGTGTTTGGTGATGAGTTTTTGGCTCAAGGTCTGCATTTACATATACATACACTGACTGAATCAATCATTTCTTTTTGAACCTTGTCTTGTACACAGAAGCATTGACATGTTAGGATCGAAAAGGGTCCTGTCCAAACTGTTGCTATAAAATTAGAAGCACACAATTCCCTAGAATATCATTATATGCTTAAAAGTCCCCATGAAATCAAAATTAAAGTTTTTTGGGTGTTAGTATCAATATGTTAGTCTTAAGGTTATCTATAAGGCAGTGTGCTCCAAAACAGTGACAAAATTTCTCGGCCTGTGTATTAGTAATTACTGCTAACAGACTGCCCGACTCAGGGACGGTCACTGAAGGATTAGAAGTGTGGCTGATAACAGGACAGTTATCGAGTGATGGAGAGAGAAGACAAGGCCAGAGAGCAGGAAAGGAAAGAATACAGGAGGAGAGGTGAAAGTAAAGAGGGCACTTAAAGGGACTCTTTTAGAATACATCCTGGAAGGATTTCAGGTCGGACAGAAGGGGAAAGTTGCCTGTGTGTGTGTTTTTTAAGGTGTTGCAAATGTGTTCCCAAAAGAAAATGGTTTATTTAAATATACACTATATTGCCAAAAGTATTAGAACACCCCGTTCTAATGAACAGGTTTGACTACTTTGGTCATTTCCATGAGTACAAATCTTAATGTTTAAGCATATAATGATATTCTAGGGAATTGTGGGCTTCTAATTTTATAGCAACAGTTTGGACAGGACCCTTTTCTATTCTAACATGGCAATGCCTCTGTGTATAAGGCAAGGTTCAAATAGAAATGATTTATTCAATCAGTGTGGAAGAACTTTGACTGGTCTGCTAGAGCCAAGTCCTAATCCCAGCTGAACACCTCTGGTGTGACTTTAAAAGCAGATCTTGAGCCAAAAACTCATCACCAAACACTAATGACTTGAATATATGGGTACAGTCATTTTAGACACTTCAAAAACTGTTGCAACAGAGATGGAAATACAATTTTTAAATACACAAATTATGTTTCCATCTTTGATGCCACAGTTTTGAAAGTGCCTTTTTCTGTTCTAAAGAAGGGGTGTCCCAATACTTTTGTCCATATAGTGTATTTATTATGTAATATTTCTATAAATCAATTATTTTAATTCTAATTGAAAATTATAAACTATAAATAAGAAAAAATCACTATACTATTTATATATAAAATAAATACTATATATCAGATATATTTCTATTTTTAAATACAATATTTTTGTGTATATGTGTATATGTTATTATATATATTTAAGATACAGATATATATAAAATATTTATTATTATTATATATAATTGATATATTTATTAACTTTATATATACTTTTTCTAATTGATATTTATTTTTATAGTTAATGAAAACAGAAAAAAGTCGGCACACTTAGGCTCCAAAAATTTTTATAGTTAATAAAATTATAATGGTTTTGATTCGCAACCTATTATCATCCCCATAATAGGTTATATCAAATAAAATCAAGCAAAGTGTGATGATGGTTTAGTATGTTAGTCAAACAGCCCACTCACATCTGAATGGTTGTTTTTTGCCTGATTAAATATGCACCTATTTTTTCTATATTTAATCTCATAGGTTACTCTGCATGGGACAGCAGAGGAGAGCAAGATGGATACTAGAGCATGAGCAAGTGAAAGAAGACAGGAGGGATGGAAAGGAGGTGTATACATGATGTCTTCGGTAGATGGAGGCTGGCGGTAAACAGCAGGTGGGGCGGCGGGTTCAGGTTTCCCAGCACAGATGGCAGAGGGGCTCAATTGAGAGAGAGTATAGGAGGCGTCATGTGATAGGAGCAGAACCGATCTGTGTGTGAGTGGGCTCCTTTAGACCTGATGAGCTTGATAACATGGATTGAGCTTGACCCCTCATTCACGTCTAAGCGCCCTCGTTAGTTTGGACACAGTGTGGTCGGGCTTCTGTCTCAGTTTACTCTTGCTGTCGTATTTTTACCTTCCTCTGCTCTCATTTTTTCTCACTCCTCTGAGAGCAGTCAAGTCTTTAGCAATGTTCTCTCAGAAGTGGGTCACACAGGAGCAAAGCTTTCTGGGATGCGAGGGGTGGGCACAGATGGATTTGACACTCCGATAACCCAATAGTCAGCCGGGGCCCAAGGGAAACCGCAACACGGCCACCCCCCACCACCCGTGAACCTCCAAGACCCCAACCCTCATCAACGCAATGCTAATGACTCCATGTATGCTCTGGCTTCATTCAGGGGGATTTTTCGCCCAGTCCGGCTCGTTCTGCTCCATCCCAGCGGACCTGCAGGGAAACCGTAATCTTTAATCTCAAACGTTTCCTCCTGCTGCAGCATTTGAAGAAATTTAATCCAAATTGCTGCACGTAATTACCAGGATGTGGCCCGCGCTGATGCCATTACAGCTGAACTGCCCTTAGCCCAGCTCCTTTACAGACAGCAGCTCTAAAATAGCCCCCAAACCCAAACAAAACAGCATTTCTCCAACTGTGACCACCCAGCCTTTAATAATCTGGCCAAGTTTGTCATGTTTCATCTGCACCACACAAACCAAACAAAACCTCATCAATCCGTGCATATGAGGATGTGGAACTCCATCATAAAGAGCCCAGAGTTGCGTTTGAGTGATTGTTTTTAGCCTTGCCTCTGAGCGAGTTGTTTGGGAATATGCGTCTCTGTCTCATGCTTGCAGGCCCATGCGGCACCATATGGCTAATGGCAAGGCGTACAGCAATTAACAGCCCTGATTAATGGAGAGCAGTCTAATTGCAGACTGGTAATTGTTCCTTTCTCTCAGCACAGGCTCTGCATCGAAACACCATATACAGATGAAGAAGGGGAAAAGGAGGAAGATAGAGATGAGAATGAGTTGTTTACTTATTTGAAATGGATGCTTTTCATTTTCGCCTGCTTTTGGAAAGCTCTTTGGTATGAAACAGGTACCTTAAGGGTACCAGTAGCAATATGTACTTCAGATGTGATCTGTGTAATCCTACAGTGGCAGATCAAAGCTGACGTGGTGAGCCTTTGTAGACACGTATGGTACTAAGTGTTTGTGTCAATACACATCGTTAAATCAGCGACTATTTTGAAAGAGCGATAACAGAAGGCTGTGCGCGTGCGTGTGTGTGCATGTAAGAAAGGTAGTGAGGGGGAGCGAAAGATTGAAAGAGAAAGAGGAGAGAGCCTTGGCTCGCCTGCACATATTTCATTGTCAAAACTCAAAGCAAGCTGCATTCATTAGCTGTGGAATAACAAGAGGATTCTTATTGAGTAATGAGTTTTTCCTTGCCCTAATTAACCAAGCATGAGTGGTATATTTTTAGTAGAAAACTGTTCAAATGCTCTCCACTTCAACCAAAAATAGATGAGGACTCATCTCCACAACCCAGTTTTAAGTGCAAGGAATTTATCTTTTGATTTTAATTAAAGGTGCATGGCTTTCTCTCGCTCTCTCTTTTTCTTGCAGAGCAGGAAGTGGATGACCTGGATAGAGATTCAAGAAGGGAGAGAGACAAGGGTTGCTCTGAACTTAAGGTCCGTCTTTGTTAATTTTTCATCTCTTGAAACTTCTATTGCTTATGCTGTCACTACAAACAGGGATGTGCAAAATTCAGAATTGGCTCCCTTTCAATTCAATAATGTGAATTTAATAGGAAGTTAAATATGCATATCTGCAAATGAATGAATAATGGATAAAGAAAATTGTTGTTTAAGTCAAATTATCTGCTTTCATGGTACTTTTTGGCTCTATATGGGGAAAAAGCAGCATAATCAATTCTGTCTAACATCTCTATTTATTTTCAGCAGAAGAAAGTAAGTCATGCAGTTTTGTAACAATGTGAGTTGTTCATGTTGTTTTTATGTTTGGGCAAACTATTGCTTTGACATCTAGTACATCATCCATCCATCCATCCATTCATCCATCTATCTCTGTAAACCTTCAAGGCTACACTTTTCGTCAGAATTACAAACAAGTTCAAAGTTTGTCTTGACAAATTTAGCTTTTTAGTTAAAATTTGTTTAGTTAAAATTTCAATTGCAATTAGTTATTCAAGTTGCAATTCTGCATCCTTATTGCTCAGTTCAAATTCAGTACAAATACAGGAATTACAATTCTGGCACACAAAATGAACAGGTACAGAAATGTATTTCTCTGCTTGCCTTTTGTGTGTGTGTATTTATGCCATCAATAAATAAAATAAGCACCACCAATCACTGAAACATCAGCCTCCAAAAATAGAAATGCTGCCTGGCATCTTTTTTGGACAAAGCCAAGCTTTGATTTCTAAGGCTGAGGCAGAGACTGGGAAAAAAAAAAACACTTCTAACTCTGATAGAAAACAGGCTGGCATACGTTTATCAGGATCCCATTTGAACTGATGAAAAATCTGGGTGTGTCTTGTGTAATAGTGCATCGTAAGTCTAAACTTGAGCCTTGATATAAACGTACTGCATCCCTCTTAAATAGAAGTAAACTGTTTATGCAGTTTTGACGGATGTGTATGATAAATTAAAGAATAATGATCTGATCTTTCAGCAAATTTATAGTAATGTTAATCTATCCTCCCCTTTATGTCTAATTTTACAACAGGGCTTACACAGCTGTGTGTGTGTGTGTGTGTGTGTGTGTGTGTGTGCGTGTGTGTGTGTGTGTGTGTGTGAGCAGAAAGCTCAGTCCTGTCACACTAACGCTGGATCCAGAGGTCTGCAGTCTTGCCAAGGCCAAAACGATGCCAAAGTAAAGCTCTCACAGTCAACGGGCAGAGCTTGGTAGGGAAGGTTCAAGAGCTTGATTGTGTAATAGTGAAGGAGGGAGTGTGGTGTACAGTGTGTGTGTGTGTGTGTGTGTGTGTGTGTGTGTGTGTGTTTCTCACCTGCACATGATCTCGTGCGTCAGCAGGACCCTGCACATCTCTGGGTTTTTGTCTTGCCCTTCATAGATAATTGCCTGATGAACAAGAGAAGGTGGAAAAATGTGGTTAGAGAAAATTGACAAACAACATTTTCTCCTTGTGGTGTAAACGCTCTGAGCATGCACAAATATCCATGACTAATTCCCAGGGTGTTTAAATCCTATCATGAAAAGAATCGAATGTCTGCTTGCATCGGTTCACTGAAACAGAAACATTATGACATCACATCATTACGCCATACACACAATGCAGCACTCATAGGCGGTTATGTGACCCTTATTCTATCTGGCAGAGGACTGCCGTTGAAAGATCTCATGCAGCATGGGAATGATCAGGTCAGTTTTAGTTTCTGTTATCAGAATGTTCTGTTCATTTGGTCCCATGTTTCTCACTCTACACATTGGGCTCTGAATTTCATAGATGTCTTTTCGTTTCAGCTAATCAATCAATCAAAACTACCCCGTGCACCGTGGGAATGCTTGTACAGAGTCTCTGTGTGCAGCGTGGGCCGTCTATGACTGAGCCAGGCTCAAAGTGGGCAATTTAATGCCCACTTACCTGCTGCAATGGAAAACGATCCCTAACTGCCTCTCTAAGAGCTTAAACTTGGTGCATTACGTTTGGTTATGTGAGAACCGATGGTGTTTGGTGTTTGGTGTCAGGCAACACACAAAGTTTGAACGTGCACATCTGTGATTCAATGAATAAAGACTTAGATTTCGGTGTGTTCCACATAACACTATTGGTACTTTTTGAATCTATATGGGAAAGAGCAGCGCGATCATTCAGTCTAAGATCTCTATTTGTGTTCCACAGAAAAAAATCATTCAGGTTTTAATGATGACAAGAGGTTTCATGTTTGTGTGAACTGTTACTTTAATATCCAATCTAATACATCATCACTTGTATCTGATAACTGGCAAATGAGTTTATTTATTTTGTTTCACATTTGACACAAATTACCAATGCTAGATGTTTATTGTAACAGAGCTGCACACAATTTGTGATTCAAACTGAATGTAAGAATGTTCATGTAACTGTCATTTTTAACTAAAGAAGTTTGTCAAGACAATTTGATAGATAGATACTGTAGCTAGATCCCAGAATGCCCAGAATGCATTAGCTGTGTAATTTAATTGAATTCCAATTCAGAAAACTCCTCTTTCTGTCATTCCAATTCAACTTCCTGTGGGGGTGTGGCTAATTTAATTCCAATTCCCTCCCATGAATTGAAAAGAGGCCTGAATTTTGCACAATCCTGCATTGTATGCTCTTGGCAACATTCAGAGCCATCATTTGTTGCTCGTTGGTTTAATTAAAAGCAGACAGGGAGAATCAAAAGAACTGTGTGTAGTGTTTGTTAGACTGTGCAGATTACTGTCCTATTATGTCATAGCGGACCACCCTTGCCACAGTGCCCACCCCCCACAGGCATCCGGGGCTCACAGATTGGTTAATAATACAGAAACACAAAACATTATTGCTCAGCAAAGCACCCTTATTACTACATGAGAAAAGATGTTTGTGAAGTGAAAACAGATAAACTGCTTAATTACAGGTCCCTCTAAAGATGTGTTGTACTCCAGTGTGAAATAACCCTCTAGGAAAGATGTGTGCATGTGAGCTGCCATAAGCCCGCATCTGTGAGACCCTGTGCATGTGTATGCATTCACGCATGTATTTGTGCATTAGCATGTGTGTGTTTATGTGAGCGGCAAGCAGTTGGGCTGCCAGACTGGAGCATAGCGAGCCATCTGGCCCAGCTAACACTTCATCCAAAAACCTCAGCTTTGTTTCCATCCTCCAATTCCACACAAGATGTCCCCCACAGCCGTGAATCAGTGACTCTACTCAAAACATACACACACTGCAGCCTATTAACAGGCTGCTCTCTGTCACACACACACACACTTAAACCCGTTTGCCATGAATCACTCCCTCTTTCTCTCTGAACACACATATACATGACACCCATGGCAACTGAAGACACAGAAAAACAGCTGATGGTTCTAATGAGGAACTGTTTCCCTCACAAGTGCACAATGCTTTTTCAATTACATGAAACACTTGTTTGAAAACAAGTTTTATAAGTAAAGCATCAGACCCAGAAAAAAAGAAGAAAGTTTATTCATATTTGATGTTTTTTATTTCCTGTCATTGTTGTGACTTGAGGACATAGGTGATCGGGGACATTTGTTTGTTAGGTTTCACATTGTGGAAATGAGGGTCAAGGTCCTCTAAAAGCGCACAAGCATGCATCACTGTCTGAGCCTAGAGCCTCGACCCCGCAGGCTTTCTGAGAGGAAGCGGGAGGCAGAGAGAGCAGTTCAGGCCACACAAAGACGTCCTCTACACCACCACACATTCATTTCATATATAAGACCGGCTATTTATCACACAAAGCCCCTGCAAACAGACTCGGAATAACTCCATGCCGAGAACAGTATATAAGTGCCTGGAACAAGTCTGAAAACAGTTTGTCAATTTCTCCTCAGAGGCAAACACAACAATGGTCATGCATCCTCCTCTGGATCGAGCTAGTGCAACACCAAGCGTCTTTGGGTGGATTTTCCTGTAGCCCCTGTCATCACATCTGTCGTGCAAAGGCAAAATGCTGCATGTTGTTTATGTCAAGACTGAACTTTGGTCTCTTAAAGGGCTTTTAACCTAACAAAAACATAAAATATATATATACATGCACATATATACTGTAACAAAATCTATTTTAGGACTGTAAAAAGTACATGTAAATCTGCTGTGGAGTTATATTTATTGTGAAAAGTGCTGTACAAATAAAGTTGAATCTAAATTGCTTTTTTTCTTAGGTTTATACATCTAACATGACTCTAACGGTATGCAGAAAAATATATAGTGTACTATATACAATATAAATTAAGTAATTTAATAAAATGCTAAAACCAAAGTAAATAATTTCCAGATAATTTAGTAAGGTAATAATATTAAAAAATTATATAAATATTTAATTTTCTAAACAATATGTTGTATTCATTATATCATACTCATGTTTTTTTCTCAGACAGTAAAAATTGGCCTTTATAATAATAATAGTAATAATAATAATAATAATAAATATTATAAAATGTATTAAATATTATAGATTAGGGGTCATTGGCGTTGAAAATTTGAAAACACCTTGTTTTAGACTATGATCAGTCTTGTGTCAGGTGGGTTTTTCTTTGCTACAGATTTCACATTTTCAATGTAGATCAGTAGACTTAATCACTGGGATCTTTAGGCCCTCGTGTGTGTAAATATTTGCAAATGAGTAGCATTAAGCCTTTATGTGACCTGGCACAGAGCGGCCATTCACGTCCTATCTGACATCATCAGAGTCTCCAAACAGCTAGTGATTAAAGGAAATATCTAATATAGGAGATTTGTGTCACTTTGTTGCATGTCGCATACTTTGGGGAAGTGTTTCTGGCATGTAAACACACCCTATTCCGTAATTAACAGGAAAAATACGTACACAAGCAGAAAGAACGGCCGAGACCTCCCTCTCTCCCGTGCAAATTTATTTAGGAATCTGCCCAAAGCTTAGCTCTAGAAAACACACACAGCAACAGGCGAGCTACAGCGTTACCAACTAGTTTCAGCCCAGCACTTTTCTGAACAAAGCTCTCCTTAAGGAGGGCCACGGAGCGCATGAAACATGCATGGCACGGTGCGCCGAGGTGTGTGTGAAGCTTTCATTAGGCCCTGATGCTGCTTTTAATGCATATTTTATATCAAACCTCGTTTGAGAGCCGCCAGTGCCGCCTTGAACTGACAGCCGCATCTGAGGCATGTAAACAATGCACTGTAAATACATGAAAACACATTTCCCTCTTTGTTACCATCACGCTAGCGTGTCAGCGCAGTGTGTGTGCGCATTAAGCCCACGTATGTGATTCGTTTTTGTTCTGCGCTTCAGCTGTTGAGGGAAACAGTTGGATGGAAGGATAAAGAGCGAGAGAGAGAGTCTTTTACTGCATTGTCTTCATCAGATCTGTCATGAGCTCATGCGTTGATCACAGATACGGCCTGTCAGCTTGACACCCGCTCCATCTCTCCTCACCCGCGTCAACCGTTCCCACAGGCAAACCGAGAAAACGTATATGGAGTTTATTGGGAGTGTGAGCACAAGACGGCCGCTGAAAATGTCAGTTTTATGCACTGAATGTGAACTGTTTTGATCCTTGCAGCTCTAGCCCAAGTTGTTTAATTGTCTCTAATAGCTGTGCGTATGTACAGAAGGTAACTGTGTGGTCAGGCGACTGGACTTTACCGCCTTGCTAAGTGCTAAAGAGAAGTGTGTGTTGAACAGCTCTATAAACCTGCTCATCAGCCCTCCCGCCTGACACTGCCAAAGCCAGCACATGCTGAATGGAGAGGCGCTCTGTAGCCTCTCTGTACAGAGTTATGGGGTTTTAATGGGAAATCTTAAACACATTGCGAGCACTCCTCAGCATATGTAGGCTGACTGCTCACCGCAGAGTGGTTTTGGACCGGGTTTTCCTGAAAGGCATTTAAAGACCAGCTAACACTCTGTCATAACCTAAACCGTGTTTCATGCTCACATGGACGAGAAAAAGAACAGCGCAGTCAAATGACAACGAGAGCAGAAAAGTCTAAAGTGGAGCCAGGCTTAAGGTCTTAACACAAAAAGGTATGCTCACATGCATGTGTCCATTGTACATTGTTACTCAGTAATTTATTAATGTCACATTCAAACAAAGCAACTTTCTTTTGGTCAATGAGTCAAAACCATGTGACCAATTTGAGCATGTGGCAAAATCTGTGCTAGTACATTTTTCACCCTTTTCGCACTCAAAAATTCGTTTAGCAACAGTAAATATACCTTGCCCCTAAAAAAAAAAAAGAGTTATTGTTTGCAAATATGGGAATGTTTGAGAAAGGGATTCTGGGAAATGTAGTGAAAAATTATTCTGTTATTGAAAGAACTGAGCGGCATTTACCATGTTTTTTGGACATTATACTATGATAATATCAAGTACCTACACCTTCAGAAAAACAATAAACACAGGAAAAAAAAGTGTGGGGAGGGGGTGCAAAATTTTACCTTTTGGGGTACAACAGCTTGTCACTGGAGCAGTACCCTTAAAAGGACATATTTGTACATTTTTTCACCCCTATTAGGTACATATTAGTACCTTAGAGAAGTAATACATACCCTTAAGGTACTACCTAATAGGGGTAAAAAAGGTACAAATATGTCCTTAAGAGTATTGCTCCAGTTACAAGCTGTTGTACCCCAAAAGATACAATTCTGACCCCATTTTTTCTGTGTGTACAAAAGTTGTACCTTTAGGGGCTTGTCACTGGTACCCTTAAAAAGACAACTTTGTACCTCAGCATGACAATATGTACCCTTTGGGTACTACTATGAAAAGGTGCAGTTGTTCCTTTAACAGTACTGCCACACTGACAAGCTGTTGTACCCCTAAAGGTACAGATTTTGCACATTTTTATGTAAATACCAAAGTACCATGCTTTACTATCTGATACTAGCTAGCATGTTGACTCGGCTGCCAAACTCTCTTCCACACACACACTATCTCTCTTTCTCGCTCACTCGGTGGCACCACATCATTAACAGGTATGGCAGGGCAGTTTGCCACAGAAATAGCCAGTAAATCAGTCGGTAATATATGTGCATGTGGGAGACAACCCTGGGGAGATAAACGGCTTTTTATTGAGACACTCAGTGAAAGGCTGAGCCGAGGCCAGGCCCCTGGCCACTGTATTTACCTCAGGGGTGTCAGAGAACAGTCTCTCTCCCTCAGCACAACGCTCCTGCCTTTCACCCACACACATAAATCTGTCCGGCTACACACCAGCCAAACCGCTTAGCAGAGCGAGGGCAAGAACTAGCATCAGTAACAGCACCTAGCTTCTTGCACATAAACTCTGTCCGGATACACACCAGCCAAACCGCTTAGCAGAGCGAGGGCAAGAACTAGCATCAGTAACAGCACCTAGCTTCTTGCACATAAACATTCATGCAAAGGAAATTATAAACCACAAACAAATCACACAACACAGAAAGGGGAGCTGCGGAACTGTTTGAGCCAAATGTAACATCCAGGGATTTTGTAGTAGGAATTTCTGAATAGAAATGAATGCTTTGGGTCATGACAACAAGTATATTAGTGAAAATGTAGTATTTGCTCTTTTTTTTTTTTTTTTTTTATAAAATATATTTAAAAAATAATTGTAATACTTGTAAAATAAATATTAGAAATGATGACATAATTAATACATTAATTTATAGTTGTTTTCAAATATATACAAACTATAATAAATTTAAGAACACATTCTGTAAAAGACTAAACGTTGCATACTTTTGTTTTAGACAAAATAAAGATCAAATTAAGTATTTCTCTCACTCTCCACTTCTCAATAAGCACACATACACACACATAACAAAGCAAAACAGTAGCAACAGGGTGGAACAATAGGGTAAGCGTGCTGGTATGTTTAAATCACATGATATACTAAGTGTTCAGAGCGTTAGTAGGTTGTCTGTCACAGTGCCTGCTAATTACCTCATATCCATACACACTTCATCCTGGCTGGGGTTACACATATACACACATATTACTTGTCATACAAAATGACTATTATGAAAACATCTCATAAGAAACACAATTATTTTAGTGATTAATCAAAACAGCTTTGCATATTTATTTGATTACAAGTGTACTTTAAATATTTTTCTCTCATTTACACTTATGAACTACTCGCAGCTGTAATCGCTGTTGAATACACTTCCCTAAAGTGTCTTCATAACAACATTTCTAGACAGAGATCATGGGAGAGGAAATGAGGGGACGAGTGGGAAAGAGAGAATGAGAGAGAGGGAGAGGCTGTTTCTGTTTTAGGGGGAAAAGGAAGAGCGCCACATATGAGATTGTGCGGTCACTCTTGCTGCCCTGTGTTTTCTCATATGAGTTTTTCTCCAGGGTTAAAGCTCACAACCTGCACGGTTAATATGACAAGCTATAACAACTTTCATACGTGTGTGTTCATAACAAACATCTGTACCCACAACACATTTGAATATGCACTATCTGCAAGAGAGTCACGCGCATACACACACACTCAAAAACTTATGCTGTTTAAACATTGAAAGGCACCGCTGGATAATCCCCTGTGACAGACAGTGAATACAACTGAAAGTCTCTTTCTTTTTTTCCCTCTTTAGCTATCAATCTCACTGTCACACATATGCACATAAATACATGCATACGCTCAGTCATCTTAAATGATGTCCCAGAGAGAATATGTCATATTTAGACACTAACCGATCCTCGTGCCCCTGAGGCATGCTAGAGTGTGTAACCCCAAACTCACCAGGGTGCACGGCACATGTTCACTCTCGCTGCATATCACACACAGACTCTCACCAGACGATTCACCAGCGAACCGTGGGGATTTTGAAATAACGTCCTACCTGTTTGGTCATGGAGTCAATCAGGCGTACATAAAAGTCCTGTTCTGTTCTGATGCCTGTAGAGGAGAGAAGATAAGTCCTCTTTAACTCGCAATACAATGCAGGTCATATGCACAAACATAGATCAGAAATGAATCTGGCAGGTATAAATTTATCATTCACAATGACATGACTTTAATACAACATAGATGCTTCAAATGTCTAGACAACCCAACCCAACATAGACTGCAGACAGTGTTAAAGGATTATGGAAAAAAAATGGCTTTGGATGAAACTCAAACTTATGTAGACCCACATACATAAACTAAAAATAAAAATAGCTTTTAGAAAGAAAAAGCACAAGAAAAATGTACAGCTTATAAAAGAGTGAAATAGACATCATCAAAAATAACAATTACAGAAAACATGATTTTTAACTAAATAAAATATATGTTCAAAACGTCTTGTAAAAAGGATGAGTGTCGTTAAGGACTGGCGCAACAAATTTTCAAACGCCTGGTTGTCATTTACCACATTAGTAGACAGAAAAGAGTGTACTTTCATTATGGCCAGGCCATTAGCTTCCATCAAAAATGAAGTGCACATTTCTGGAAAACGCGTAACCGGAAAAGTGCACTAATGGAGATCGTTTTGTGTTTCATTAATGTTTATAGTTAAAACGCTACGACTTTGCTGCGCATTTTAATCTCTTTTGTTTGAACAATTATACGAATTGTTATAACAGTATATTATTATTATTATTATTATTATTATTATTATTATTTCAGGACATTATATTCATTTGAATCAGTTTGATCTAGTTACATAATGAATTATTTATTTCTTTGTCACCCGTCCTTGTCGTTCTATCAGTCTCGCTGTCTTTTTATTTTATTCAGATTGTCGCGCTGAAGTAAATCCCTGATGTGTTTATGCAAAGTTCAATGAGTCTTAGATGATGCGTTTCTTCTTACCGTTGCTGTAAAGAAGCTGCAATCTGTAATGGATCCCATTGTTGGTCTTTTCTCCGGTAGATTCCTGCAAAAATAAATTCGATGGTTAGCAAGAAAAACCTATTTGACTATTTCTGAAGAGCCCCGTGAGTCAGACCGGCTATTCCCTTGCGGACCAGGAGGCCGAAAAAAAAAAAAACTTCTAACGCACATGAGCCAGCCGAAACAAAAACAGTACAAAATACATTTTCACTGAGTAAGCGAACGAGTTAAAAATACTTAAATAATAATAATAATATTAAGTATTATGTGTTGAACAGTGTGATTTCACAATTTAATAATGTATAGACGTGTACAAAGTGATTAAATATACAGTAAGCATTAATAGCCACATCTTTTAATGAAATCAGTCACTTCGCTCACTATGATTAAGTTACAAGTGCTTACAAAACATTATATTTGTGTTGAGTATTTTTATTAAAGCAGCATATGGTCCTTCACAATAATAAAAATAATATGTTTTTTAAATAGCATCTTGAAAGGGAATATTAACTTTATGACATTAGGTTATCACTGTAATATTTCTGCAAAAATATAGCTAGCCTACAGATTTGTTAGTAAATGCATAAAGTACTGAAGGGAACGAATATAAAACATGAGGCTTTCTTAAATGATAAAGGATGAATATGTAAAAAAAATAAAATAATTAAAATATAATAATTAAATGGAAGTTTTAAGGGATTCATGCAGAACAGCAATTTAATGCAAGAATATGATTTATTGAGTATAGGCAAATAAGCTTTCAACTTTAGGCTAATATCAATAATATTTTATCTAGGCTACACTTTAATAATTACACCAATTTGCAAAACCAATATGCAGAAGAGAACGTTTCACTTGCCTTTTCTTTTTCAATAAATCCAACAAAAGAAGTCCTTTCAATTTCCACGGGTTGTCCTTGTCTGTCGTATAGCGCTAAAACGAAGTGGAAGAAGTTGGATTTGCGAAGATTTGAAGGAGGTTGCTTCTCAAAGTGTGCTCGAGCAAGACCCACTCCACTATGAACACATACAAGACAGAGAGAGGATGAAATATTTACATATGTATAATAAAAAAATAAAAACAATTAGTTTGTGATTATTTAATTACAATTTCCTAAAAAGGGTTCAAATGCATTTTTTTTTTGTTTTCAAATTGCAGTGCAAAAGCTCTTAAAATTTACTATTAAAATTACAGTTTAATAGTTTAAACAAATAGGCTATTTAAAAGTAGCCTGTCTTTTAATTTTATTCTCTTAAATAGCATAGCAACAACAGATGTAATTGTTGTTCAAAAAAATAATTCATATAAATATAACTCAATCTAAGAACTCTGTTCAGCTGCTTATAACAAACTACTGGTCTGGATTGTCTTTCAAATTCAGTATTTACAATTTAAAGCTACAGAATCAATACAAAACTACTGGTTGCAAAGTCACTTAGAAGAAAACGCTTATGCTATTTTAACGTTAAGAATAATAATGTTAGAAATAGGCTAATAAACCCCGTTTTAATGTGACTTGCAACTCAAGAATTCTGTGTATTGGTGCCAACAGCACGCTGAAGAGGATGCTACGAACTTATCGCAGCAATAAATCAATCTCTTTGTCGCCTGGTTATTAATAAGCAGATATCGCGCACTGATTAGGATGATATACAAGAGCGTTTTGTGTCGTCCCAGGATGATAAGCGCACAGTATTCCGTCTAGCTGTTCCCGTAGCGCTGAAGACCGCCGCCGGCTTACCTCTGAGCGGCTGTGTTCGCATCCAACACACCGGCAACCTGCATCCATGTCCGGACAGCGTTCATCCCGGCACTGATGGCACCCTGCATCCATGTCCGGACAGCGTTCATCCCGGCACTGATGGGCTCCTCTTTCATACTACTCCCGCTCCTTTGAATGCTGTCTTGAATCCCGAACATGAAAACAGACTCCTGTCACCGTCTCAGTCGGCGCTTGCTTCTTTTGATAGCTCCGTTAAAAAAAGACAGTGAGAAGTGTATGGGTGAGCAGGTGTCACCGCGTTTGTCTCTATTAGCGCTTCCTCTCTGAAACACAAAATAGAGCGACGTGCCAAAAGAAACGCGAGATGTCAACATCCAGGTTTGGGAACACCGTGCAACAATCAAACAAACAAACAAAAACTGCAAGATTAGACTGGAGGTCCTTTTGGTCTAGCGTGCGCAAAAAAAAAAAGGTCTAATGTCACTTTAAGAAACAATAGGATCAAGATCGGGCTTCGCTGAGTGTTAGGTCAAATGTCATCACCCAGAGACTATTTTTTTCTTTATTTTCTCCTCCTTTCCTTTCCTGTCTTTCTCCACAAAGAGTATTCTCTGATCAAATCACATGAATGAGCAATATGAAATCAGCCAGGAGAGGTGGACCCTTGTGGAGACAGCTCCCTCGCTGTTCCCCTTGTTCAAACGGGAGTGATTTGTGTCCTTTCCCAAAGGAATCCGATTTGACTGTCTCTGGGAACTAAACACAAGCAAACTAACCCCAAAGGGAGGAGGAAGAGGAGGAGGGAGTGACTGCGCACGCAGGGCCGCCCCCCAAACATAAGTAAAGCCGAACTACCATTAGCTGTCCACCCAACCACGAAGACCGTCGCCTAATTAGACATCACAGCCAGCCCTGCCCACTTAGCGAGCGGCGTGTTTAGAGAGAAAACCAGAAAGAAGTTATGAGCCGCGCGTTAAATGTCACGCAGCAACTGCCTACCAGAGCGCGCGACTGAAGCCAAATCGATGTGGTTCACATGAACGCGGAGATGTTTTTTCAATATTGTGAGATTATTTTAGAAAAAGCACAGTATACGTTTGTTTAAATACCGGTCTAGGGATGAGCTAGTGTTTAAAAACTTTCAAGGGTTGGACTTTTAAAAGGGATTTTTCAAGGAAATGTCGGGGTGTTGAGGTTCGTCTCGAGCTGTTCAAGTTGTCTTTTGGCGCCCCTGACCAGTGTTGGGGAAAGTTACTTTTAAAAGTAATGCGTTACAATATTGCGTTACTCCATAAAAAAGTAACTACTTACGTTACTTAGTTACTTTTTTATGGCAAGTAATGCGTTACGTTACTTTTGCGTTACTTTTTAAATCTGGACAGGGCTTGCTTGTTTGTTTTTAAAATAAAAAAGTTCTATTTATAGCAAATATAAAAGCCCTTTCACACCAAAAGTGAAATGAATAAACCTCAGGCTGAAGGGAAAGTAAATTTACGTCCGTACAGTAGAACGCAGAAGAAGGAATTTCAACACACTTCAGCAATAAAAAAAGACACAAATGTTTGTCTGGAGTAATTTGTGCTTATTAGTATGATTGAACTGGATCTTCGAAGGTCAGAAGCAAAGACATTGGTTAATAGAATGGGATTAAATACATAAAGGATATTTGTGTTGTTTAACATTTAATTATTGCAGGTTTGCGTCATATTCTAAGTTGCATTATTTTTATTCATTTTGAGGAATACTGAATCTGTGTTTTTTGTGAGTGAGATGAATTAATGCATATTCATATTTATTTTAGAACTACAGTAACATCTTCTGATTTCTGTCACCATGGCGACACCAGAGCTGTCAATCAATAAATTGGAAAAAAAAGCAACTTGCGTTATTCAGATATTCCCTTGTAAATTAAAAAGTAATGCGTTACTTTACTAGTTACTTGAAAAAAAGTAATCTGATTACGTAACTCGCGTTACTTGTAATGCATTACCCCCAACACTGCCCCTGACACAGTTAAACAAATATCAACTATCCTAAAGACTTTTTAAACAAAACAAGGCAGCATTTTTTGAGAAATGTAAATGTAATAAAGTGTTTCTTTATTAATTTTTGTTGAAATATCGATAATGATCCTGACACAAAGTGCTCAAGCAGCCTACTGTTGCTATGGTTACCTGCTGTGCTAGGCGAACGCTGTTTCTGTTCGTGAGCGTCTGTTTACGTTCAGGTAAAAAACGAACTTTTACATAATTTTGTAATATAACCTTTTTGTTGTTTTTTTGGTTAGTGAAACACCAGGCAGCCGCGGACATATTAGGATATTATTCTTTATTTAAAACACGTTTGTGGAATAGAATTAAGACCATGATGAAGTAGACTAAACAGAGATCTGTCATCGAAATAATGAGTTTTTATGTACAAGAGACATTAGCCCATGTGATATGTTTGACAACTGATGTGAGGAAATGAATAATTAGTGTCAAAATAGTGTCATAATGAGTCTTTAAAAGATTTAGTAAAAAAGACGTTAGAGCAAAATGTGAACTTTGTCGCAGATTTGTCAACAGATTAGTTGTTATCAATTAATAGGCTAATAAATAAAAATGTATTAGGCCTACTAATATGATTAAATTATTTAATACATTTAAAGACGCATATATTGTATTTTAAAACGCCATTGCTGATAAAAAAAAGTCATGTACAGATTTATAATCCAGTTCTGATAGTAGCATATATAAATGACAGTAAACGCATCAAACAAAACTGGATAGTACAGACTCAAACAGTTTAACAGCTGCTTTGTCAGATTCGATATAAAACGACAGTAATAACATATACAGGAGTAAATGCTGGGAGCGCAAAACCATTTTAGCAGCACTTTGTGTTTTTCATTTTTCACACAACAGCAGTTTTGTTTTAGATTTAGAATGCAACTATAAAGCTTTATGATATTTTAGAAATGTGCACAAATGAGCATATGCATGCACGGAAAATGGATATTGTAGCTACTAGAGCTAAATGGAATCCTCCACAGACAGCGGACAGAGGAAGTAAGAATCCCGTCCAACCCAGTGCTGGTCAGGCAGAGGGGAATTCTGCTGCCCCTGGGTCCCTGTATATTTATATTCCCACACAGCAGTTTAAAGTGGCAGAGACTACACAAGCAGTCTCAGTGGAAACGGTGTATTTTCATGTGTCCAAATAAGAAACAGACCGGTTACTTAGCATATTAAAACGCGTTTTGTGCATCACTTAAATATAGCGTCGAGTGCATGTGTGTAGGCTATGTGCATGGAAAAAAATCAATTTACAATCTTTATTAAACAAAAAAACACGTGCCTGTATTTACGATAATCTGATAAAAATGCTTAAATTGATCTTTATATAATATAACTAATCCTATTGCTGACAGCGACAAATTCGATTTGATTTGTAAAACAGATGTCCTCATAAATCACGCTGTCGTTGATGATATAACTGAATTGAACTAAAACATAAAATAAATCATAATGTAAAACAAAGTTCTTGTCACGTGAGATAATTCAGTCAGTAGGCTACTTTTATCAGTTTCAAACCATAAGGCCGCATTTCAACATTTAGGCTAGCCTATTTATATAGCCTATGTTTATTAAAAGAAATTGTCTATTAACACTGTCAGGTAGGCCTATAGTTTTGATAAAATGCCTTAAATTCGTACAACATGAAAAATACTTGTTTTTTTCGCGTCAAGGTCAGACTGCGAGAAAGCAATTGTGTCGTGTTCTTAATACACCAACATATCCATTATTACCTTTGACTTTGTTTTCCATCTCAGTTTGACCTATAGGAAATTGGAGAAATAAGAGTTTCAGCTCATGGTGATTATGACAACTGCTAACATGTGTGCATATTTTGTGCAACGACTAAGAGAGTCTGTGATTTGTGGAAAAGAAAAGAAATCGTGAAAGTGTTTCGGACACAAGAGACGCGTGCTTAATGGTTGACAGTCCAACATTGTCATCTTGTGGCTACACATGGAAACACAATTGGGAAAAGAATCTGTATCTAAAAACCTTATGTACTCGCTCATGATATTCCAAACCCGTAAGAAGTTCTTCAGTGAAACGAAAAGAGATGTTAGGCAGAATTCGAGGGACTGTAAGACACAGTCATTGTTCACTTTCATTGCTTTTTTTTTTTTTTCATAAAATGGATGTTAATAATATCTGGCACAGTTATTGAATTTTTGGTTAAACTGTTCTTTTAAAATAGACCTATCAGAATTAAATTGTGATCGTAGGCCTACTTTTGAGTATGTATATTAAAACAGAACACTTATCAAGATTTAGGTCAGAAGAGAAAAAATGATACTTTGCTGTGACACTTGACCTTAAACTGGCTGTAAGGCCTTTACACACACACTGAGAGACACACAAACCAAAATGAGTGGAGGAGAAACTCACACTGGAGGGGACTTGTGAAGACAACATAATTTATATTCTGGTTCCGTGAGAAAAAAGTACCTAGGGAATATCTGGCCTTTCCAAAATGACCGAGTGCTTTGTTCTTGAGTTTCACATGTATTTTTTAGTAATTTTTATTTTTTATGTTTTACACAAAGGTCGGAGTTCAAGGCTAACTTTGATCAGAAGGATGGAGAGGGGTTAAAGGGTAGCGTTCTTTGATTTGTTAATATTTCCTCCATTCTCTCTTCCTGCCCCTCATGCTAAAGGGAGTTAAAGTGCTCACACAGGAAAAGCGGATAAATGCTCACATCTGCCTGCACTGAGACACCTCACACTGCACTTAAATACAGCAGGAATATGCCATAACTTCAAACTGTTTATTTCCAAATCCATACAGTAAAATAGTTGTTAAAAGAATAGTTATGGCTATGACGACTGCACAGATTAGGGGTGTACAGTAACTCTATAAGAGGGGAAGGAAAGCAAGTGATCTTCAGACCTCTGAAAGATGGCGAATGGTCAGGAAATGAGTGCATATCCTGTCTGTGTCTCTTACTTCAAACTGTTTATTTCCAAATCCATACAGTAAAAGAGTTATGTTAAAAGAATAGTTATGGCTATGACGACTGCACAGATTAGGGGTGTACAGTAACTCTATAAGAGGGGAAGGAAAGCAAGTGATCTTCAGACCTCTGAAAGATGGCGAATGGTCAGGAAATGAGTGCATATCCTGTCTGTGTCTCTTCATCAGATGTTTTGATGGTTTCGGCAGTCTGACATTACCTCAGCACTCAGGTGTGGGTCTGTTTGATTCATCACAGGTGGCTTTAAGAGTCCGGTAGGTCTTATTATGCTTCAGAAAGGCACTGTGAAAGAAAGCCAGGACAAATGTTTCATGGGTTAGGTTTGGATTTATTCTGACATTCAGGCTCACGTTCAGGCATATTTTACTGAATTCAGCTGCAATTCAAACAA